GGTCCTTGGGCTTGCAAGGCAGGGAGCAGAACCCCTGAGCTAAATCCCCGGCCCTACTGCAGTGATTTTTTTTTTTTTTTAAAATTTAAACACTCCCTGTAGTTCTAGAGGACCCTTGCATTTATTACTTTATATAATTCCAGCCCATCCAGAATGGCCTTTGCTTTATACTTTGTTTCCTTTCAAATAAACAAGAAGCCCAAACCCCAGCAAAACCGCCAGAAACCACGGGGATAGGAAGGAAGTGGACGCTCTTCGGGCTTGGGGGAATCCTGCTAAGCTCTGATGCCCTTCCTCAAGTGTCTCAGTTTCTCATCCACCCAGGGCGCCTCCCCTCCATCCTGCCTGCGCGCAAGGATCAAGGAAGGAAAGAGCTGGTTGCAGCGATCCAAGGAAGGGGCTTAGCATGTCACAGGCTTCAGTTCTGCTTGTCAGCCTTGGAAACATTTCTCCATATGTAAGTCAGAGGGTCAGGGCTCTTTTTCTTCTTAGGGGCCCTGTTGAGTTACTGGACTTTCTAAGGTTGCTTTTCGCCATTGCTCACACCCCTAGCTCCGGGACCTGGGCTCCTCCTTTGGGCCCCGAGGCAGGGCAGGAGCAGCCCTGCCCTGTCCCTTCCGACTGCTCCACAGCCAGGGTGGGTGGGGAAGTGTGAGGATGCTGATGCTCTCCCAGGTCCTAAGGACTTCCTGAACACTTGGGGGACCTCGACACACACACGCACACACACACACACACACAATGTAAAATGGTGTAGCCACCGTGAAAAGCAGTACAGCTATCTTGGAAAAACCCCACGTGGCTTTGCTGTGGATCTAGGAGCCAGGAACGTGCACGAAACAACAGAGCAGTGCGGGCCCAGCTCGGGGCATCCCTGAGCCAGTGGGCGCCCACCCGAGCTAGGCCAGTGCGCGCAGTGAGCGGACGCCCGGGACAGGGTGGTCTCACTCTGTGGACTCAGTGTCTCCTGGAGCCCCTTCCTGGCCACTCTCTTCCCACACTGAAGGAGGAAGCTGGGACCCTGCCCACAGGGACAGCGGTCAGGGAAGTACCCGGGGGTACTGACACCCCTCGGACCCCGGGCATCTCTGTAGTCCCTTGCAGGCTTAGATTTTATTTTTATGTTTTTAATCGGGGATCGAACTCTGGACCTTGCACTTGTGAGGCAGGCGGCAGAACCACTGAGCTAAATCCCCAGCTTTAATTTTAGAGTTTAAATCAAGAACGGAATTTGGGCCCATCAGCAGGCTCAAATTTGGACCAATCACAGGCCTGAATTCAGACCAGTCAGCGGGCCTGAATATGGGCCAATCACAGGCCTGAATCCTCACCAATCAGAAGGCACAAATATGGCCGGCAGCCGGTTCTCCTCTTCCTTACGTGCGCTTTTCTCTGGTGCCTTGAGAAGCTTCTGGTGGTTTTGTAAATTTTCTTGTGGTTGTTTCTTATGTATTGTGGCCTGGGTAGGTCTTGTAAGTTTACTCAGTATCCTGAGTTGTGTGGACGGAGTGGTTGCTTTAAGAAGATCCCTAGGCTCCAGGCCTTAACCCTGACGAGCTCTAGTGAGGCTCAGCGACGAAGTATCAAGAGTCGACCTGTGACGCCTGGTGGCACCAGAGCGGAGCTGTGGCCCTGAGGGCTGAGGTACGATGGTGGTCATGGTCCAGAGCTGCGCTTCACGGATTCACGGTTTCTCTTCAAGTGCAGCAAGAGCCCGCTGCCGGTGTCGCTGTGGGGATGCCACGGACAGCTGTGCTGGGTGGGCCTTCAGTCACTGAGGAGATGGCAGAAGGAGCAGGGCTAGAGTAAGCGGGTGAAGAGGGCGGGAGAGACAGCTATGGCGAACCTTGTAGCGAATGAGTGCCCACGCTGCCACCCCAAACCTACCTGTGACTGAAGTGCCAACCCTGCAATTAAACCTGAATACGCAGGTCTCAGTTTAGAAAAACACAACTCGTGCAACGGTGATGTCTTTGCAGACGCGTGCACCACCTAAAACCTGGGGAGAATCTGTGACCTCCCTGAGGCAGGTCAGGAGATGCTCCAGTGCCTAGAGGACAGTGATGTCAGGAAGAAGCAGAACAAATAGGCCTTGCTAAGTCCCCTCCAGTTTAACACCGTTGGATCGCACCCTGCCCTGTCACGTTTCTCCACAATTGTTGCTTCCTCATTAGATCTGCTATTAAGCAACACTGGTTTCTTCATGGATCTTTATCATGTAAATTTATAAGATGGCAGGCCTGCTTTTGTTACTTGTCCTCCCTACTGAGGCCAGGCAATGAAACTCAGAGGGAAAGGTTTCTTTCCTGCTGACAGATCGAGGTGACTCGGTTGGGGACAGCCAGGACACCTTACCTGCTGGGAGCCTGGATCCAGGTCAGGACCCGCTGACAGAGGCCCGGAAAGTATGAATTCTCACCAGTGTTGGCCCTCCTGGATGTCTGCCTGTAGCAAGCAGTTGGGAGAAGGTAAAGCTTGTCCTTGTTCCTCTTTTCTAAATTCAGATGAGCACATTTGTCAAATGGTTTCTTTGGGTATGACTGGTGGTTTAGTTTTGGGGTACCTGTTGGTTATTGGTCATTCCCTCGGGTGCAGCTGCTGCTTTCCCGTTTGTCTCCATTGTGTCCTGGGGACTTGACATTGTCAGGGTGTGTGTGTGTGGCAGACTACTTGAAGTTGGCGCCCCAAGGACAAGGCCTTTCAGAGAAGTGAGCTGGACCCCTGTAGCAGCTAAGGTACGGACCCTTTTGAGAAGGGCTGATCTGTGTCTTTGTTCTGCTGATGTTGGGAGGGCTTCTGGGTACTGTGAGAATCGCAACTTTTGCAGTCCTTTTGAGGACATCACTTGCATCTATGGTGGTTGTAAAAGGGCTTATTGCTTTGGGTTCTGAGTCACTTGATGGATAAAACAGAATACTTCCATTTATTGTTTGTCTCAGCCAAATGGAGAATGTGTCTGAAAGAGTTAAAAAATAAAGGCAGAGGTTGGCT